CTCGTCGCAAAGTGGCGTATTGATTAACGTGTCAAGCTCACATACAGTACTCTCACGATTTGATTTCCGCTTGAAGTGTTGATAAGACCTATGAAAAGTTTATAGTAAAGTCAACCATCTACTCATATCATTGCGGGGAGATTCAGCCACCAGTTCTGCATCACCTTAACGAAATTATGTTAAAACATCGCGTATAACTTATCGACTCTTAACAAAAGACCTAACCCTTTAACTCAAATGGGCATTGCAAGAACTATTTAAACTGATGGTCAGCAACAAACAAGGATAACACCTATTGGCTAAATTTATCCTCCTTAAATTAAAAAAGTGATGGAATATTATTGAATACAGTGAATAATTCATTGGAATTTTACAAAAGAATCAAGGGCACCAGTTAGGAAGGAAACGAAATATTTGTGAGCTTTCATATTCAGTCCATGTACACCAACATCTCAGGAGAAAAAGCACTCACGGCAATACTGGAGAGCTTGGAAATAGAAGGGGACATCTCGAAGACGCAGCAAATCCGAAAATCGTCTCTAAACCGATTAATAAACCTAACGATAAGGACCCCATCTTTTACGTTCAACCGTCGCATGTATGCGGAACTGTTTGGTCTATCTATGGACATCCAACTCACCAATTTTGTCTAGTGCTTACCTGATCAAATGGGAGGAGACATTCTAGGCATGAACCATGGTTTTCACCTTCCCACTTCCCGTGTCTCATGAGCGTTTAATGAGTACAATATGCGTTTATTCGAACTTAATCGCATGCACGAACATTGCAGCATCAAAGTGTAATTAATATGACGAATTCAACGTGTGTAAAATCTCTATAACAGCAGTCATTGACTTGGGATTTTCAAAGTATGATTGTAAATGTAGACCGATTCTGCATGTTCAATTCTTAAAGCAGGATAAGTATACGTTTGCCAGTATTCCACATATGGTTTTTGAATAGAAATAAGTTTTATTATTATTATTATGAACTCGTCCTCCGGTTGGAGTAATATTATTGAAGAGAACCAACCAGTCTATACTAATTGGCGATGCACATTAAAAGCGTATACAAGCACAATCAGTACATTAAACAGGCCGGCGCAACGTCGTACTTAGCTCCAACACCGCGCTAAAGGAAAGAATCACACAGAGAGATGCTAGTCCTTATGAAACCGAGCCGTAATATGCAGACAGACGCAGTCAGGCAGATTTAATACGGTTCCATGCACATAGCTACTCACATATTGTCAACAAAGTAGTATATCTAGTTTTTTGTATATAAGTAGAATTTAGAGACTACCAGTAAATCAGTTATGCGAGATGTATTCACCCTATTACGTTTACGGAGATGAAGGACTGGTAGTAGGGTTGACTGCACCCCTAGCGCGATTTGAACCGTTACAGTGTGACCTCGACCCATTAACCCCTCAGCCACATTGTCACAAGTGCCTTTTGGATCATAGGGCCGATGTGAATTTGCAGGAATGCCCGGTCTTTTTCCATATCACATTCTTTGCTGAGATTATCGATGGAGCTAACGTTTTTTTCTATAACAATTTTCTACATTGATAGAAATGCACCTTGTCCTGAGTCCATTCTCTTTGACGAGTTGTAAGATAGTGCTACGAATGGTAAAACTCACTGACGATGCCGGTGAAGCGTCTGGGAATGTACCACGTCCACGGTCCGACTCTGGAAATAATTTTCTACATTATTTATTTTTCATATAAAAGTAGAATTTTGAGACTACCAGTATATAAGTTGTATGGGATGTATTCGTAGTCGAAGATAAACCTGAACTAAATTATCCATCCTTAGGCCGGAACTGAATTCATAGATTGTAACTTCTATTGAAATATCTTTCTGCATTCCCAAAAATCCCGACCAATAATATTTTATCTGAAGCTGTGACCACCAAAATCGTGTAGACTTTAGTATGGTAGCGGTCTCCTTTCTTGTTATAATCCTAACGTTAGTACTGTAATTGAGAGCAATTGCGTCGGGATCAGCGTCTACACAAATATTTCAGTAAAGCCAGCTGTTAGCTCGCTAATACGTATTTGCAGTCGTCTTATGTATGGATTGGTCCTTGACTTTCTTCATAAAACTTCCACTCGAAATTAAAATGTGTTGAATATTACCTTTTAACCTAACCACTGTATTACTAGCACTCTTGTCTACCGACCTACACATTTATCGATGTTGAAGTACCTTTTATTTCGTTTGAGGAGTCAAGTTGAAGTTAGCCTTACCGGAAGCCTTGATGCTGATTGCGTATATTGTGCAAAAAGTCGCATGGCGCACTGCAGTGAGGCCCCGATGAAGCTTTGTAGGGCATTTGCCTGTCGTGTAACTTACATTGTCAGAGGACATCATGTCTTACTATAATTGAACAAAGCACAAAGATTAATCTTTTCGCTACTTCGATTTTTGATTCTGCAATGGTGTCACGTGTGATTGCATTCCAGTAAACACGTATTGTGTGCATCTAACGTTCATGAGATGCGTGGAGTGTAAAACCGAATTTGAGTCTCGGCAGTAACTCTTTTTCCCCTTTCTATTCTTATCCAACAGCCACAAGTATTTACCACTTAATTTCTTCTATTCACGATTTTAACTGTTGTTGATTTAGATAGATTCCATAATTTTCTTTTAATTGTTTTAGTCTTCATACGCAACTTGGCGTTTGGTATTGGGCAAATATATTTGGTGTCTTGCAGTTTCCATTTTGCTAGTTCTGATTTGTGGACTCAACTATTTCTAGGTGTTTTATGCTTGAATAACCTCTGATGTATGGGTCGGCAGTTCTACCCCACGTAAAAACTACTGCACTAACACAAAGCCTTAACATCCCTAATTTGAAGGATCGGAAATTTTCAGAAAAGATAGCACTAATTACGAAGATATTATTTTCTCCTTATGTATTGTCTCGATGTCCCACATCCTAAGTAATTCACCTATCTTAAACGATGGCAATTAATTTATGAGAGGATGCAGCTGTTTCAGGCTCCAGTTTTTAGAAAGCCTTCAGGGAAAGTAAATGATACCCAACCAAACAATGGGATATCTCATTAAAAAGACAAAGTTAGGCTATAAGAAATATGTATGCTTTAATCCATGCATTTGATTGTCATGTTTTTGTGGATTATCGTAAAGAACAGTGTCCCGCTCCGCCACATAACGAAGCAGTGAGCAGAGATGCATCGTATTCACAGACTTATTTGCACAGACCTAGTCAGCTCCAAAGTTCCCTTTCGACTTCCGGTGAGAACTTGCGAATCCCCCACACATTCTCGAACTGACAGGTACCCCGACACTAATCTATCAAAGGATTCTTTGAAAGCCAACTTTCCCAAATAAAGGCACTCTTATCGTCTTTTTCTATACAAATTTATGAACCTTGGATTTGGGTTCTAATTCCAACTTTATTTGGTCTACAGACATTTCATAAGCGGCAAAGGCTATTCATAAAAGGTTTAGTGTGCAAGACCCGTTACTTCTTCCAAAAATGCGGCTCAAGTATGAGTTCAAGGACTGAAGAATAAGATAGATGACCTTCAACTTTATGCTGAGCGGATTCAGAAAATTTCCTAATTCTACGTGAATATGCGGATTTTTTTGAGACTAATTTTTATTGATCAATCAGTAAACTCGACCTCCAATATGTTAATAAAATGGGCGTGGAGCTCAAGCTTGAAAGCAATCTGGGTTCTGTAGGGTTTAGCTAGTACATTTAAGTCCACCATTATCCATCAGCCATTTATATACTGTTGCCAGCTCATAGGAGAATTGTTTGGCAGCCCCCATCAATTCCCGCTGATACATAAACTCACTTTTCACAATTTCTCTGCGCATATACATTGCTAAAACCTATTATTAGAGTACTTGCTCCAGACTTATCAAGTCTATCTCGCGCTACTATGTAGGACATCCGGGTTACTATATTTTTTGTCAAGTTTATCAATAGTATGGTACAAGACGCAAGACTAAATACTTTCCACGAGATCCGCCTATCGATCCGAGGAAGTTTCGAAGACGAGGTCAAACTATGTAGCTGAGGGAAACTGCGAGCAAATAAAAGGTCTTTATATTTATCAGGTCTAAATTTGTGCCCATTGCCAGTTTATATTTATTTAAGCAAATATTACGAATAATAATGTCGCGTTTAAGAAGACTAAACAGTTGTGATTAGTGAAAATGGCCTTCTCGGTGGTTTTTTATGTCCAGACATGTATAAGATTGGCAATACACAAACTATTAGACGATGAAATAAGAAACACATCTTTTTTATTTTTCCATATTACTCGCTGAGTAAGTATACTAAGGCTTAAAGCAAACAGATATTTTTATTCGATCATAATGCATTCACATAAAGTTGATAAGCCTTGCACGAGTGCTGGAATAGCTTATAAGTTATAGTGACTCTAAGCGCAATATCAGGCTCCAGGATACAGATTAAAAATATAAAATATCCCATAGAAGCAATATGATGCTCTTAGTTAGCTAAACACAAAGATTGCTTCTTGTTCATACTAAATTTTCTGGCATAAATGTCGATCTCAGAAAATTTGACACTAAGAAAACTAATGGGTGCTACAAGTGTTGGAACCTCCTGGCTATAGTAAATAAAAATTGATTTAAATTTTGATTTATAAGACTGGCATATGAGAACAATGTATAGATTTGAGTGATTGCATAATACGAGGATGTGACCTTTTTGACCCACAGAATTAATCCGACATTCCAAGAATATTCTGGGATGATAATAAAAATAGATGCAAACATAAATGAAAAAAACTTGGAAGTTAATGACATAAAAATAAGTTTTCTGCCAGTGAACCTCAAGTGAAGAGTATATGAAAATGGGGGAAATGGAATTTAGCATTAAAAAGAAAAAAAATTATTCTTTATCAGAGTAGATACATATGAGTTTGATAGTCGCAGGTTAGATACAATGTGAAAGACAATAGAATCTAATTGAAAATCGGTTAGCGCCAACTAGAAAGCACGAGTAGATAGTGGATCTAGGTCTACAAAGGGATCCATCAGGGGCTGCGCCTGTTGTTGCAGTTGCCGGGATGCACTCCTTTCAGACCGCCATTGTAGATCCTCAAAATCACGTCTCCTATAAGATAATGGCCCACTGGACTGCCCACCCGGCTCTGTCAATATTTGAACTGGGAGGTCTGCAAAAATAGTGCCTTTAAAATGTTCGGCTGGGGGGTTGGATGTTAGCGGCATTTCTATTGTATTAGAAGATATAGGGGCCCCGACAGAACTAGAAGAGTTATTTGAGTTAGGCTGAGAAAGAAGAAGAAAAATATATCGTTAAAGTGAACTTGCGATCTGAAAAATAGCATATTTATTCCACATAGATAGTGGAGGTGAAATGATTCCAAGTAGACAGAAAAATACCGAAGGATTAGCAACACTAGGTTGAATGGAGTTTATTAGATTAAGGGGAAAACAAACTAGTGCAATGACTGGTGAAATAATATTAAAAAAATATGCCACAACATTGTTACCCGAAACTTTAATAGAGAAATTAGATGAATAATATTGAGTATCAAGTAGATCTTCTATCAGAATAGGAGTCAAATAATCCCTGGTGAAAAAATTCGTAATAAGGAAAAAAGCCTACATAGAACCGACATAATAATCAAATGGTGGAGGTAAACTATATCCATCTAAAAATATCAAGGAAGATCGTATAAATCCTATCAGAAAGATAGGCTGAGACAATTTGGCTTAAAAAATTAACAAATAAGGATATAATAGACTAGCACGAACATACAGATAAAACTTTAAAGCCCATTAGGGACTGATTCAGGAACTCGTAGTAAAATACGAAAATCCATATCCAATAACTGTTTATAAATAAACACAACAATATAACCTTAGAATATGCTTCGATATCTAAGGATGAAATTGGTGAATGTCAGAAAAACCTTGTATATCCATGAATAAAATCTACGTGGAATAAGGTCCTACTCTGTACAATAAAAACGACAGCTAAACTATTGCTTGCATATTGCTGAGCCAAATAGTTTGAATGAGGATGCAATCAAAGAAATCCAGAGCAAATCAAATCGACCTTGCTACATTTCATGAAATAGATATTAAACTTCCTTATTAAGGTAAGAGCATCAGTTACGATATGGTGCTGAA